ATAGCACTTTTATTACAATACACAACAATTTACCAATCAAATGTCACTGATATGTTTGTTAACAATAATTAGTCAGTGTCAACATGCCAAACAGTGGGGTGATAATTAACGAAGAAAATTAATACACATAATTAAAAGGTAGAAATGGTTACAACAAGTGGATTGCATAATACGTAATTTTGGAAGAATGAAGAGTAATTAAGGAATAAGCGTCTGCACGGGTTGATTACCTAACAGATTATTAAAGAAAACAAAACGATTTGGACAATGATAACTTGTAACTAAGGGTGAAGTGGTCATAAGAATAAAGTAATTTGGAAGAATTTTAATGTTTAGCTGCAGAGCCAGCTACATTGGGCGTACAATTAGCGAGGTTCATCATCGTATTTCTGAACATCATCCAGCATGGTTAAGCATGGGACAAACAAGATCTATTTGTAGCTCTATTTTAGCACACCTTTTAGATAGTGAGCATAAGGTTGATGTTAATACTGCATTTAAAATTATTTATCGCATTCCCACTAATCTTAATTTTGCTCTACGAGTTCGTCTTCTACATACAAAAGCTGAAGCAATAGGAATCCACCTGTGTGTTCAGAAGAGATTTGTACAGCCGCTTTCCTTAACTGGGCCGTCGTTACATGAATGTATAAACAGGACTACTTCATCTCCCCTTCCCCCTAAACCTTAAAATTATAATTTTCCAAATTATTTAATTATTTTTCTCACTACTTCACCTTTAATTACATGTTATCATTGTCCAAATCGTTTTATTTTTCTTTAACAATCTGTTACGTAATCAACTTGAACAGTTGCTTATCCCCTCAAAGATCTTCATTTTTCGGAAATTATGCATTATGCAATCCACTTGTTGTAATCATTTCTACCTTTTAATTGTGTGCGTATTAATTTTCGATAAAAAAAGGAAGACGAAATTCGCAGTATAAAATGATATCATTATATTTCACAGGTTCTCATCAGCTGCAGACTACCTGATATCATTTTATACTGCAGATTTCATCTTCCTTTCTTTATCGAAATTTACCAAGGGAATCAAACATATGTGTTTATTTTCTTCGTTAATTATCACCCATCGCATTGACATATTTACACTGACTAATTATTGTTAACAAACATATCAGTGCCACTTGATTGATAAATTGTTGTGTATTGTAATAAAAATGCTCTGCGTGTATATTAGAGTAGAGCCAGAGTGAGATGAGGATCTAATTGAAAAGTTATTTATTTCTTCGCTCAATCCTTTTTATATATTATATTATTATATTCCTTTATGTTTCCAGTGGAACATAGGGTGTTTCAAGCAAGAGCTTTGAAGTTCCAGTAGCAGTGTTGTTTATTTTTACGGGATAGGATCGTTAGTCTCATGCCCAACCTTACCCCTTTATCAGTCTTATTACTAGTTTAGCGAGGTAGAGGAGTGCTTCGGTGATCGGGAATTGAACGCTGAACCACATGAGGCGTGGTCGGCGAGCATTCTACCGCTATGTCACCGATGCATACTCAATCCTTTCACTTTTTAATAAAACCTCTTGAGATATTTAACGTCAGCTGAGGAAACTTCCATTTTTTGGCTTATATCATTTATACAAAGCAACAAGAAGACGTAATTTATCCGAACCCTGTAATGTGTATTTGTTTCACGCATTTCGAACAATCTGGTCACACACGGACTTGTCATAGGAATGAATATATATGAAATTAATAGAGAGTTAAGAGGTGAGAAAATAGACTTAGGTCAAATTGAAAGGACATATTGACGGTGAAAATAACAATTAAGATCACTAAACCAAATTAAAGAGATAATAGTACATCTACCCTGGCTGGTGTCAAAACAAAATTTACCAAGGAAGGTGGTTTAGTGTGATGAGGAATTGTTTTTGAACACATAAAGTTGGTTTAAACTTCCTGATTGCTAGTTGCGGCTTCCACAAAAAATTAGGATAAGCCATCCTCCAAATACTTTTTATAGTTAGGTTTAAAAGATGTGTAAACGTCAATTTTATGTCCTGCCCCATCTATAATATGTTTCGCAATAGAGGATCTAGGTCTTCTGTTCTTACCACTATTGGGTTCTGAGGATTCTATTTGTTTTTGGAGTCATTTAGGAATATGATCTGAAGCCAGCCCTCACTTGCAGAGATCGATGAGTTCTGCTTGTGTACGTGTGTCCACACGTACATTCAAATTGATAAATACAGTGGGATGTGACATCATTTTTCGCATGTTCAAAGGGCTTAGATGGATGGATATATTGGCTTCACATTCTCAATTATTATGATATTAACTGCATAAAAAGTCTTTTTAACGACAGCATTCAATCCTTGTCTACTTATCACTAGAACAATTTTTTTAAACGATTTCGATTTATTTTACAGTAAATTAAAACAAAAAACCAATCAATCAGTATGCTTTGATATTCAATATTCAGTGGTTATTTACTTACAATATTTCTGTATCTTCTTGTTTTATTAATGGTGTCGTATGAATATTCGCGTCATGTTTTTCATTCATAACTAATAAGGCATTACGTAAACGTTTAGTTTGTTCAGTTAATAAAGTAATACGGAGTTCATTGGCCTGAATTTGTCCTTCTAATTCTTCATGAACAGATTTGACACCTAATTACAGAGAGTGAAAAAAGAATTTTACGAAGACACTGCTAAGAACATTACTGTAAGTAGTAGTAATAATAATAATGATCACTCTATTCGAAGTAGTAATTTTTCCTATGGAATGGAATTTTCAGCAATGAACATATTGAAACAATTTAACTCCTTTAACAAATAGGGAAATAAATGCATAAAATAGTAACGGGAGTTAACGAGTAAGACAAAACTGTCTGTCTATTATCACCAATGATATTCCCAACTGTGGTAGAGTGGATTATGCGTCAGACTGTGCATGGGAGTGAGAACACAGGAAAGCGCTGGACCACCGATAAGAAGAATCTAGGAGGTCTGGATTTCATGCGTGGATGACTTATGTCTAATGTCACTCAAACTTGAAGACTTATAGGCAAAAACCTACAAACTGGCTAAAGAGGCTGTCAGGCATCGAAAACATGACTCCAGGTGAGCACAGAGAAGATGCAGGTGGTGAAGATAACCAACCAACAGCAAATACAAATAGCACCAGTCACCATCAACGGGAGAGATTTGACAGTGGCCAGTCAGTATCGGAAAGGTAAGAGACGCCTTCATCAACCTGAAACCAGTTCTCAAGTCTTCTGCACTAGCTTAGTGCACTGAACAAGATTCGGATTTTGTTCAACAAAATGTGAAGCCAGTCAGTCACTTCTTCTTTGTAGGTCACAAACTTGCATTGCGCACACATCACGAAAAGCATCTCCAACAGGTCACAGCAGACTTTTACCAACAGCTGCCTTTTTCGCTGACTGGCTCCATACTGAAGATCAAATGGCCAGAAATAATTAGCTGCAAGAAACTCTGCAGTGGAGTTAACCAACCAAGAATCTATCACTCAACAAATATGTAGGGAGAAATGAAGATGGATAGAATTGGCATACGTTGAGGAGACCGTCGAACAACATCGACCACAATACAGGCCATCGCTCGAATAGAATCCCGATGGGAAGGGACGAGTGAGTTGTCTGTGTAAGAGTGATATGGGGGAGATCGTGGGGCAGTGAGGATGAGACAAGAGATTATGGTCAATCATAGACCCAGCTGAAGAGGATAGCAGAGAATAGAACGAAGTGGAGATGTGTTGTTGAAGCCGCCAGCTCCACTCGGAACTCTACGGAATAGTAACAATAATCACATTCCATACTATTTGTATGTTAACTTATATAAATGCAACTGTACAGCTTTTGAGAACGAAATCACTGAAAAGATATCTTTACTGAACTTCTTTTTCTTTTCCCTCTAACGTCCTGATGGATAGTTTCCATGATACAAAAATAATTGGTGGGTTTTTAGAACTTTTAAACGTAATGCACATATTTCACGTCTCTGGAGTAGGATAGGAAGCATAACTGAGAAGTATAGTCGATAGTACACAGTATCTTCGTCAAGGTCCTTTGAAGTATCATCCAGTTTTGTTTTTGTTTATTTGAACGTTTTGAATCGAATAATTTAGTTAAACAAAGGTAAAGAGAGACACTTTAATTTTCTTAACAGTCTAAAATTAAAGCAGAATTGTGAAATATCTTCAAATTTTTACTTTCTGAATCATTGATTGATTGATTATGTCGGACTGAAATTCTACATCTCAATTCATATGTCGACTCCTACCTAGTATAAATGCCTCAAAAAGAAGCGGAGGTTAACACTGCATCATTCCGATTGATGATGGCTAAAAATGGAATCAAGGAGGCAAGTTTCGTCCTTCTTCGGAACTCATCAACTGCTCCAGTTACCCAATGATAAATCCTTTGGGTGGGGGATTCGAGTCTCAGGTATGTCCAGCTAATGTGTCCCAAAATAGAGTGAATTGAAGACTCTTGATTCCAGTAGGGACGAGGACAAAAGTTACTGCAAATCGAACTCGCCACGATGATTTTGTATTACGCGCCTAAGGACATGCTGTAATCATGCCACATGTTACGTTTGGCTGGTTTAAAATTGTCCTGTTAACTTTTTTACACAGCTTGAATATTTGTTGTGCACAGAAACGCGTCGTGTTGCCCTTTATCCTCACCCTTACAATACTAACTGCAATCATCCAAAAGAAACTACTAGACGTTCATTCAACGATAAATTACTGACAGCAGCTGAAGACTTAACGAAGAGATGCAAGTATGACTCATGATTTTAAATTAAGCGCCAATGAATTATTGATCAACTAAAGCAGATTGTGGTGACAGCAAATTTCTTCAACACATCGTAACCTCCAACTGTTGGTTCAAATATACTGATTTTTTATGTACCTAATCTTCAATATTTTAAATTAACGGTTATTTCTGTAAATTTCTGGTTGAACATATTAAAAATGATTACATCACTTCATTTTAGACTTACAATTTTCATTTTCAAACACAATTGGTCCATTTAAATCAGGATATTGAGCCATTTGTAAAAGATCTTCATTCAATTTGTTCAATTTTTGACATAATTCATTATTCTCCAATTTCACTTGTTCAAGATTCATTTGAATTTGACTTTTAACGCTCTCATTTTCAGTTGATTTATTCTTTAAGATATTCAAATATAGAAAGATGATATAAACGAAAATAAATAACTTACCTTGATCTCTTGTATTGATTTCTCCAACTCTTGTATTTTACTTTTATATTTATTTATCTCAGAGTTCAGATGTTCCATCGAATTATTCTTATCTTTCAGTTGTTCTTCTAATTTTTCATTGATCTCAGTTAGTTCATTTATTCGTGATAAAAGTTTTTCATGTTTCTTAGTGAGCATCTACGATGAAAAAATTGAGAATTAGAATGTATGCTACTCAATACCTATTAAGTAGTATAAAATATTCTATTGAAATAGTAAAATTTTCGGTGCATATCATTCAGTGAATGAATGAGCCAGTACTACTCTATATCAAGTCAGACTACGAAAGTACCTCATTTAGGGAACTACTTTATATTATTAAGGAGTACTAAGCAGCTCTTTTGTCTTACTTTGGGTGTCTTCATCACTACAATTTTACACTTTATTTATTATTTTTGTTCCCTCTGGTTTCAAATGACACATAACGCTTCAACAACATATCTCCACTTCGTTCTATTTTCTGCTACTTTCTTCAGCTGGATTCACGATTCCCCATAATACGTTATCAACTTCTCACACAATCTCCTCCATCTCACACCCGCACTGACGACCAACTCGGCGTTTCCCATTCGGATCCCACTCGAGCAATGGCCTGGTGCACGAAGTTACCCAACAGTCTTCTCAGCATGTGCCTAATCCAGCTCCAATTTTTGGCATACTTGCTGAGCAATAGGTTGTTGGTCGGTCTCTTTGCATAGTTTTTTGTTGATTCTTTATGGCCAGCCAGCCCGTCATTTTATCTACAGTATGGAGCCAGAGTGCGAAGGGGGAAGCTGTTGATAAATAACTTGTTGGATATCCTTTCCGTGACAGGCAGTACAAATTTATGACCCGTATAGAAGAACTGAATGAAAGACTGACTTCACATTTGTGCTGAATAAAATCTGAATCTTGTTGTTTATGCAGATGTGGAGTGCAGAAGATTTCCAAACTGATTTCAGGTTGATGGAGGCGCATCTTGCCTTTCCGATTCTGGCTGGCTGGCTTTGGTATATTCATTCGTCCCGCCCGTAGTTGAAACAATGCTTCTTATATAAGTGAAACAAGTAACCTCTGTTGAATCTTTCCCGTTGATGGTGATTGGTGCTGGTTGTTGTTGCTGTTGGTGAGTGGTTGGTTGTTTGGTTATCTTTGTCAACTCCGTCTTCTCCGTGTTCACCTGGAATCCTGTCTTCTCTGCTTTTTCAGCCAGTTTCCTGGGACGGAATACAACATCTGCCGACCAGCCAGGTGATTTGTTTGGTGTCACTATATAACCAAATTATTTACACCTCATCTTCAACGTACCCATTTGTACAGATCCTCCGTATTGTGCAACTTCTGACCTTCCTTCATATTGTGTTTTTTTGTGCTCCTTTCACGTCTTCCATATATCTCTCCACAACATTGTATAATTTTCTATCTCTGACGTCAAATCCGTCTCCCTGCTATTTGATGCTTTCATGCCGATGAACATTCATATACATACTACTGATAAATCTTATCAGTAGCACATACCACAATCGTCTCCCTATCAAATAATTTCGAACGAAGCCGTTTCGACCTTCTTAGTTCTACCACTTCCAGTTGTACTTTGGTCGGGATTTCCTTATCCCACTGAATTCATTTCAGCAGTTGGCTCATACTAACCCATTTCTGTTAACTTCCGCATTTGATGATATAAACGGGACCACGTCTGTCGGTGACAGTGTATGGTCATTCCCAATTCGGGAGAAGTTTCCATGAATCTGGCCCACATCTACTGTCGCACTTTCTTTCTCTACAACTTACCTGATCGTTGACCTCAAAGATTATGCATCCCATCTTTTCTCCCTGTTCTGATTTCACGACGTCTTTCTTCTGTTTATGGTTGACATTCCTGACAGCTTCTTTCCGTTGCGTTCGTGCCCGTTCCCCTTAATTGCATCTGATATTCATTTTATCAATACATTTTTGTTCTAATTATGACATACAAATGCTTTGGAACCATAATTCCATTGATTCAAACGACTCAATATTACTTAAACGAGAATGTCAGCCTTCTTAACAACGACCACTCTTTATATATTACGTATGGATATAACTGTAGCGCCTGATGAAGAAGTTATCAAAGACAATATTCTTTGCTCAATCTTCCCTATGCTTTTGTCTTCTTAATGTCTAAATCAGAACTTTAGCTATATGAAACAGTTTTATTTTGAAATTCGCGCTGACCAAGGTGTTCAATGTACAAATATTAATTACAATAATTATTTTTGTCAAAAATTTTTACCGTGAATTGTGAATTCATATTCTGATTCTCCATTTCTTTGACTTCTAATTTTTTCAAGGCAGACTGATAATCTTTTGTAGTAGATTCCAGTTTCCTCTGAAGTTCTAGAATACATGATTGAACCTTTGATAACGATGATGATGGCGGTGATTTTGATGGCAAATTATCGTCATTCAGTTGATCGACGTCAGTATTAAATAGTCTTTCAATTTGATCTGGATTTTGGATAAAAGAAATCGAAAATGATAGGGTTTACAAACCTTGAAATATGATTATGAGAAGAAAGATCTTTAGAAAAAAATTGAAATCAACAGCTTTTCAGTATTTTGTTTTTCTGAAATGAACTGAATTTTAAAAAATGAACTTTGAACAAAGGTGTAACAGTTCAAGTTGCCATTATACTTCATAAAAACGCAAATGTACGAAAAACAGGCAACGGAAATGTATGGGGTGTGTGGGTGTTTTTTTGGTGGGGGAGGGGCGGTAGAATGATTTCATGGGGAACAGTGAAGATTTAATGGATTTCGGAATTCACAAAGAGTGAATGCATCTATACCACTTAAAATGATTTTGAGTAGCATGACCAACAGTCTCAAGTCATCCGTTTCTTTGGGCAGTTTACACCTCTCCTGATGCGACTCAAAGCAACAGTCAAAGACTTAAACGGCTGATGACATGTTTTGGTCTGATCACACTTAAATTTTTGTCAACCCAATGGAATATCAGATGATGTTTATCGAAGAGGAAACAGTTTTATTTGTATCACTGATATAAGTATAAAACTTGGGCACTGTGGCGATAGAGTATAACTCCATTATAGATAAAATTTTATTTTGATAAATCACACAGTGTTTGTTATACAGTAATATTAACTGATGACCACGTTTTGAACACAAATTATAGCCATTCATAATCATATCAAAGCATTACTCTCACAACTTTTTACTTCACTTATATACATGAGCGGAAACTGATGATTAGACATTTGAATAAACAACCAATATAGGATAATGTACATTCAGAAATAATAATATGAGTGATATCAGTCAAATACAATCAGTTACGAAATAAGACGAGTGTTCTTTTATATTCAAAATAAGTAACTTGTTAGAATGTTATGATGTACGTGATTTGAAATAGAATTTTAACATTATCTATTATCCTCCTCTGATTTGACTGACTGGTTGTAATAATATCTTCCATATCTCTGGTATTTGCATTGAGTCATTTCTGCTGCATGTGTTGTGTTGGGTGTAGACTCGATGAACCAGGATTCAGTAATCTCTCTCGCTCTCCACCTACCTATATTACTTTTTAGAATTTGGACTCTGTTTCACCTTATTGTGTGGTTGTGTGTTAATGCTTGCAGTGCATTTGCTGAGCGTTTTTTCCGAATTACTTATCTTCGTGGAATCAATCATTCAAACCTTAGCTAAATTCTTATCTTCCGACAATCTGACTACCCCTGACCTACTTGTTTGACCTATATAGTGGAGGGAACAAAATTTATTTACATCGCCTCTCATTGAATCAACTCCCTAGCCAATGACTATTTGGGAGACTATATTACACACACGAAATATATCCAGGATGACGACTACGACAATTCTCTCTTAACTGTAATGCCGACTAGAACACTAAGGACTGTAGAGTTCAGTCTCTTAAGATTACAATATGCAATTTTATTTCTGCAATAAATGATAACAAATCTATCTGAGTAAACCATTGGTGAAGTTAGCTGTAAAATGAGCCAGACGGCAGTCCGCTGTTTACCTAATAAACACTACTGTTTGCAGTTAGTATTCTCTAACTACTTATATCAATCGACCAGTAATATATATATATATAGCTTTTCTATAGTTGGTTAGTGAGGATTAGTTTTGTTTTTACGAGTTGATCACGGATTGATATCAGTTAGAGAACCATTGAAAACCAGCATGGAGTACTGGACAGCTGTTTCATCCCACTAGTTTGGGACTCATCGGAAAAATATATATAGCATCAGTTTATATTGTTTAGTTTCTTGATTACCCAGTTATTGGATCAAGCAAATGGCATATTCATATCTGTATACTTTGGGTATCCAGAGGAAAGTGTGGCGAGTCGTTACCTCGACGTGTATACTTTGTAAATAACTAATTCGATTGTATATTTCTGATATTTGAATCAATAAAAGTATGATATGTGAAAGTGTTTCTTATTCTGTGAAAAATGTCCAATCTAGAAGACCACAAACTGTTTGTGATGCAGCGATACGGTATACTACTGAAAATAATGAGGGAGCCTTTTAAGTAGTCACTTAACTACGTTTTGATTTTATGCAAACTATGCTGCCTACTATTGGCAGCGATTTTCCTGATTGCAGTAGACTGGACAATGCGACAAACAGCGGCGGGCAATGAGGAAACAGGCATAAAATGGACTCACACAAAAAAACTTGGCGGATCTGGACTTCGCCGATGATATATGTCTGATTTCCCACAAACTGGAAGATATGCAAACGAAAAGCAACAAGTTGGCAGAAGAAGCATCCAGATAAGATAGGACTTCAGGTGAAAATAGAGAAAACAGAGGTGATGAAGATACCTGGGCAACACCACCAACAGCAACAACAGACAACAATCAGCATAAATGGAAGGAACCTGAAAGAAACAACCTCATTTACCTATGTACCTGGGAAGCATCTCTTCAACTTCAGGCGGAACTGACGAGGATATCAAAGCAGCGAGGATCGGGAAAGCAACGCAAGCTTTCATTTATCTCAGCACTCAGCATGAAATATAAGGTCCGCATTTTCAACTCCAATGTGAAGTCAGTTCTACTATGTGGATCAGAGACTTGGCGCGTCACGCAGGGCAATTCAAACAAACTACACACCTTTATCAACAGCTGTCTTCTCTCAATACTACTCAAGAACAGATGGCCGGCCAGAGATGATCAGCAACAGAGGGGGATCTCTGGGAGCGAACCAACTCAGTAGGAACCATATTGCAAGAAATATGCTAGAAGAAATGGAGGTGGATTGGCCGTACTCTATGGAAGCCATCAAGTGGCATCACTAGACTAGCCCTCGAGTGGAACCCGGACGGGAAGCGGCGAGTTGGTCATCAGTGCAAGGGTGATTTGGAGGAGGTCATGTGAAGAGGGGATGAAACCGTATGGGCAGACATGGAGCCAGGTGAAGACTTTAGCAGAGAACCGAACGCAATGGAGATGCACGGCTGAAGCCCTATGTTCCTCTAGGAATAAAAGGAAATAATAATAATAATGAATGCTGCGGTTATTTGTCTAACAAAATACGAGGTAATTTTTTATTGACAAAAGTTATCTCTGTGGTGAATATGTATACTTCAAACTGACTGACTAACTAACCGGTTTCAACTTTGCACAGATGTGCACCACTTTGAGTTGACACACTCCACTCTATATAGCACACAAAGCAGGAGAAGAGAGTAAAGACAGATTCAAAAGAGAGATGATAAACAGAGGCATGAGTGGGGCAAAAAGAATAGTAATATGGAAGAACAATAGACTTTTATTGGATATTATAAATCGCAAAGAGTGAGTGCATCTGCGTGAGCCATTGACAACGATCACTTTGAGCCATATAATCAATTGTCTCCAGCCTTCACTGGTTCTTACCATCCCGAGGACCCCAACCAGTAAGTCAGGAAATCTATACCTCCTTATGTGGCTGGCTGGGTGGTTTAAACTAAATGTTGTAGATTTTACTGACTAATGAAGCCAATTTTTCGTCTGACCAACACTAGCTGTCTCTATTCCAACATAATCAGTCCTATGTCAGCTAACATTTCCCATTGGGGAAAGCATGCGTAACACATGTTCTAAGCATCTCAATCGATGCAACTGCTGCACAACCTCCTAGACTGACTTCCTCTCCTTACCTAGCACTCAACCGGTGCCTAACCTTAATAGTGTCCACCCTATTACACATATCACCTAACGCAGGAGACTGAATGCAGATTCCTATGATCGAAGACAACTAGCCAGGCTTTTCATGTTTTCCACTTTTAATGACACCATGTCACACAGTTATCCATAAAAGAGGACAGAACGAACTGCTGAGCAGTACGCACGTCTTTGGGTCGACAGCCAGATATCACGTCTACGCCAGAAATGTATCCGTGCTGAGATATAGTCAGCGTTCAGCCCACCAAATGGATCTAATTTAAAAACCAGCAACAAAAGTTATTGGAGCAGGATTTAATGAATTCACCAAATGCCGATAGAACACTCCTCATCTGCTGAATACTTTAAATAGAGTGATATTTACAATTAGAAATACAATGGAGATATATGACTTATAAGTTAAATAAACTACCATGTTGAATAAATCCTGTAAAACTACAGGTTTGAATGTTTTTCAGATCATGTTCATGTAGATAAGGGAAAAAAGGGTATGAGAGATTGAAAATTAAGATTGTAGTGTATCACTCACCAATTACGTCACTACATTAGACAATTAGCTATCGGAGAAAGGACTCAAAATTATTTGGAATTACACAGTGAATAATATTATTAATAATAATAATATTCTACCATGGTCTTAACCTCTTCAATAGTCGTCCCCAGTAAAAATTTTAATTTTCTAATTTTCAATTTTACTTTGCCTTTACTTTATTAATTAATTCACTATTATCACTCTCAATGTTCCTTTTGTGCATTTTCTCACCCTCTCCACACTTGTTAAATAGACACTCAATTACCACCCTTATTCTCACTACTCAATAGCAATTTTAACCTTATCAAATTTCTATCCCTTTCTTCCTTTGTGTCTTCCTTTGAGCATAACGTAATTTGCAACTTTTATTTTTACTTCTAAAGTCATTACTGAGTAATTATATCAATTATGTCACCCCAGTTGTATTACTCAATAACAGAGTATTATCCATTTTTGGTAAATATATCTGGCCGCCTCCATGTGCATATATCAGTTCACCCGCTCCTATTGTGGAGCAAGGTACATTGGCCGTAGTCAGAGGACGCTTTCCAAACGGATACGAGAACATATTCCAGCATGGTTTCACAAAGGAGAAAGGAAGTGTGTGCAAAGTTCTATTTTGGAACACCTGATCGACTTCTGTCACTCTACCAACCCTGACCATGATTTTAAGATCATATATAGAATCCATGCTAGCTTCCCGCGTTTTCTTCTTTACAGACTTCTAAAGACAGCTGAGGCCTTGGCAATTCATGACTTTAAGCCAGACAAACCTTTGTGTACAAAAGAAGTATGTAGAATCCCTACTTGTGCCTTGGCCGTAGAGGGAGAGGCATTCATTTATTTATTTTGATCATTTAGTCATTCTCTTTCCCTTATTACTACTATTATTATTATTATCATCATTATTATTATTACTATTCTCACTCTGAATTGTTTTCCCTTGTCCCACTTGTCATTCTAAACCCAAAATTATTCACTTTTATATTTTTATTTATACAATATTTAATTCTGTCTTATCAAATTTCATACCATGTTATGTAACATTTTATATTCGTCTACTGATCTTATAATTTGTACCCCTTTCCTAAATCTATACACCTTATGTATTATTCTATATATGACATTAATTATTTTGCCACTTGACATTAAACTATGATTATAATCACAGATATTTTAATTGCATTTCATACTACTGTTATTATTTCATATATTCGCACCGTTGACCTAATTCCCTACCTGGATATAATTTCTTAAAAACCATATATATACGATGGTATAGCTTGATAATAGCTTCGTTGAAATGTCTCTTCGCTGAATACTGTGTTCTTAATGCTACAATGGGAATTATTAAATTTTGAAAAAATATAAATATGACAGTACATCGTGTGAAGATGATCTCGTCGATAAAGAGGATTTTCTTCTCTGATGGATTGTCTTTTATTTTCTTCATGACTCAATGGGTGTTTCGGTGATTTGAAGGAGAGCAAGAACTCCGTGACAGTGAAATAACCTGGTACATTTCTTAAGTTTTCTGTCAAGCTTGCCATAGCAAACGCAAGAGTCGATTTTCTAAACAGCTGTATAGGATAAATTTATTTCATGAGGAAACATTCAATGATACAGACTACCGTTGTTTACTGATCGCGGTACGAACACAATTCAGTGTTGATGATCGTGTCAAGAAATTCCCACTATGACATCAGAAGGCAAGAGGATGAAGTAAAGGTGTATTTCCAAGTGATCAAACCGCTGTTTATATCTACACAGTTTATATTCTTTAACCAATCACTGAGCGTGTGATTTTGGTGTATACTAAACAACATGAAATAGAATGTTCAAGTTCGGTATTACTGAATATTTCCTTTCCTGGGGTCAATCATTCTACACCTAGCTGAATTCCTATCTCCCGATAACTTGATTAAGTCTGATCTACGGTTATAATCTGTGTAATTCCCCTCAGAGTTATTCTATAGGATTTTGTAGATTACATGATATGTCTATTTGGATCACTTGGGTCATTTTACCTTCAAAATTTATCTCTGTGTGAATTTATGTATCCAAATGCCGACCTAACTCATCTTTGCTACAAAAAAGGACATTGGTAAAAGTGGAATTAACAAAAAATTCCGAAAATTTCGAAAACTTTTTAGAGGAACTCATTCAAAACTCCAAGAGGAACTGAATTCATGAGTTAATTACAAAGAACACGTTTTTATTTAGTCAGCTGGTTTAGCCACTTACGGTATAATGATAACACATTTTCATTTTCATGAGGTGATCAACTGAATTCTAAAACAAAGCGTCTGATCATCTTATCAGTGAGAAGCTCTGAGACATGTGGTGAGAGCTGTCTGGTAGCCAAAATTGGTAGACAGAAATTTACGTCAGCGTTTACGTCCCAAATCTTGGGGTCATGAGAAAAAAACAAGAACAAAGACTAACTCAATTACCAATCACAGCAGACTTTGCGTAGCCGGATACGATTCGCAGATATACTGTCTGACCTTCAAAGAAACAGCCACTAAAAGATGACAGATTAACTTTCAGCAGGAAAACAACCAATCAGAAGACGATGCTTCTCTGCTAACAATAACGAATAATAATGTACATAAAAATCTATAAATATCTGTTGATTTTCGGAATTAATGATCTGTTGCCTGGCCCTTGTCTTCTGTCGTTACAGCCATATGGCCTCCCTTAAGTAGAATGTCCGGAAAGAAACTTCTTGAAGGCACTGAATGACGTTAGAGGTACGTCATAACAGAAGAGAGTAACGCGAGACGCTTATAATGATTCGAGGCCAATTCAGTAAACATTTTTTTCCAAATGTAACGCTATATACATAAAGATTTTTCAAAAAGCTCTTCAATTTACGGTCGTTATCTTACCCAAATTATTTTCCAATGCTTGACATTGATTTTCTAATTCTTGTATTCGTGTATCTTTAACCGTTAACGCTTTGTTTAAATCTTCCAAGTTGGTCTTAAATTTTGAATTCTCTTTTTGTGCTTTTTTGTAATTCTTATTTAATTCGTTCAATTCTTTAGATAATTTCTCATTGAGATTGTTATATTCATTCTTGAGAAGAGAAGAAAAACAAATTTTGTTTGAGTATAGTTAGAATTCAAATTACATTCTCCAAAACTTATGTTTCTATTTTGCTAATGTGTAGAAATATGCGAATAATTTTCAAGAAATTGACAGACTGAATGAGGTGGAGATAAGAATAATTGTAAAGTTTTCTCGCGGAGAGTATGGCGAATAACGACGCAGATATTCAAACTTTGTGAAGAAACTAAAAAATTTCTTTTTAAAACAGCTAAAAGTAACATTTGAAATGATTACACTATTCTCTCAAACAAATTATAAAATTCATTATAATAAAGGCTTTTTGTATTTCCCGATATATGAATGGAAATCAAAACGATATTACTGTTTTACTGACGTTTCGATATTTAATGCTGCTAACAGCTTTATCAGAGCAGTGATACTAAACCAGAATTTACAAAATCCACTCAGCTTATATATCCAGCAACTTAATCATTGTTCCTCAGCATGGGGTCATTTTCGCGTTGTTGTCAAATTGGTCAATTGGTAAAGATAACGAAACCAGGTGTAGATGATAGTTGGATTTGATAAGTGTATAAAATTATAAAAGTAGAGCAAATGTATCAGTTTTTTTCAATTCTTCTTAGACAAGCACTCTCTCTCTCTCTGATAACGGATGAGAAAGAGAAAGAAGAAGAAATATCAAACATTAATGAGACTTTCAAGCAAAACAACTACCCAAAGAACTTCATCAACAAAATCAACACTCATATCAAGTATGGTCGGAAACGTATTCTGAAAACATGGACCTCAACAGTTGTCAGTCATTCCACATAGAGCGGAGACGTCAGACGATATCAGAAGAGAACTCAATAAGCTAGACATCAGAGTTTTCTTCAAAACAACAGACACATTGCGAAACAACCTTGTCCATATAAAAGACCGAATCCATAAAGATTCTCTATCTAATTGTGTCTATAAAATAAAATGCTTCCTTGGAATGTGATGCGATATACATAGGAAAAACATCTCGAGAAATCAAAATCAGAAGAAATGAACACCTTAGAGCATCTGTTCGACAACCGAGAAATCCTGTTGTGAAGTAGAAAAGCTTGAAAAATTATCAGCCATAGCTTGTCTACACGCTATAGAATCAGGTCACAAAATTGATTTTGACAATATTGAAATAATCCAGAAAAACTTCAGAAATCACAGAGAACGTCTCACATAATCAGAAGCACTTCATATCATCAAATGGAATCCCAATTGTCTGAATAGGAATGATGGACTAAAACAGAATTTGACCTGGTTGAAACACTAACCCCCTCCCTCATGAAGTGACAAAATCAGCACGAATGTGATAAGCAATTTCATTGGATAAACACATGCTGCTTTTATAATTTTACACACTTATCAAATCCAACAGTCTACACCTGGTTTTGTCATCTTTATCAACTGGCCAATTTGACAACAACGCAAAAATGGCCCCATGCTGAGGAACAATGATTAAGTTGTTGTATATAAGCTGAATGGATTTTGTAAATTCTGGTTTTATTTCATTGCTCTGATAAAGCTATTAGCATCAAATAGCGAAACGTCAGTAAAAACAGTAATATAGTTTTGTTTTTCATTCTTGCATTGGGAAATACAAGAAAACCTTTATTATAATGAATGAATATCATATACCCGATGCCAAAATTTTTTTCAAACTGTTAAAAGGGAACTTGGTTTGGACATATATAAGTTATACAATGATCGTATAAAGCTCTCTAAGTTTCAGCTTAGAACGTTGCACAGAAACGCATCAGTTTAGTCTATCAGGCTCCAAGTAGTGCATAAAGGCAGAGAAAAGAAAATATTCAAAAGAATAGATGGGGGGAAAGAAATAGTAACATGGAAAAACATAAGGGCCTAATGGATCTGACGGGTCACATAGACTCGATGCATCTGCAACATTCATGTAGAGTCTCAAGCTTTTAGTTCTTAGTCTCTTGAGATCCCACTCAAGCGGTCTTCGCCTTTCTAAGTAGCTAGCTCAAAACAACGGTTAAATGGCTCATGAACTGATGGCATGTTTTGATTTTACCTCCTCAGCCTCCTTTTCAACTTACTCCTATATCAGCTAATATTGCTGATCGAAAAAAGTGATGAATAATATCAACTGCCTGGGGAAATTCGACTGCAGCTGCGGTGTCAGCTACATTGGGCGTACAGTTAGGCAGGTTCATCGTCGTTTTTCCGAACATCATCCAGCGTGGTTAAGCAAGGGACAAACAAGATCTATTCGTAGATCTATTTTAGCACACCTTGTTGATACTGATGTTAATACTGCATTTAAAATTATCTGTCGCATTCCTAATAACCTTAATTTTGCTCTAAGAGTTCGTTTTCTACAGACAGCTGAAGCAATCGGAATCCACCTGAAGAAGCCAAGCCTATGTGTTTAGAAGAAATTTGTGCAGCCACTTTCCTTACTGTGGCCATCTTTAGAAGAATGCATAAACAGGTCTACGTCGCCCCCCTCCCCCTAAACCTTTAAAAACTATAAAAATTATAATTGTCCAAATTATTTTATTTTTATTTATTTCGACCACTTCATCTTTAATTACGTGTTGTCCTTGTAAAATTAATTTATTCTAACCATTTCTACCTTTTAATTGTGTGTATTGATTTTCTTCATTAGTTATCAACCCATTGACATTTTGACACTGACTAATTATTGTTAACAAACATATCAGTGCCACTTGATTGGTAAATTGTTGTGTATTGTAATAAAAGTGATATATGTGTATATTAGAGTAGAGCCAGACTGAGATAAGGATCTAATTGAAAAGTAAATATTTCTTCGCTCAATCCTTCTGTTTTCTAAATGTCTAAATGGGAATTTTTTCAAGAGATGCTTCCCTGCAGCCAATCTAGTGACACTATACAGTACTACATGCTTTATAAGCCAATCGAAACTGGATAAATACCCTGCTGATGTTACCTCCAACTGCATTTATAAATTTACGTGCACCTGCGGCAGCAAGTACATCGGAAGGACAGAAAGAAGGGCTTCTATCCGGTTTTCAAAGCATATTCCGGGAAACTTATGCTTAAAAGGAAGCAAATATTTACAAAGTGCAATTGCCAGACACCTTGTGGATACGGGGCATTTTGTCGAGATTTCCAAATCCTTCAAAATATTAAACATACAAAGGACAGTGAATCTACTACGATTTACTGCTGAAGCAATTGTAATCAAACGTCTCAGACCAAACTTATGCACACAGACAGAGAGAGTGTAGTCAATCTCTCACTCCCTTGGTAACCACATCACTTTCATTACACTGATTACTCATACACACTAGTGAGCTCAACTCACTAAGCAAATTTTCAAACTGATGAACTTTGACCTTGTTGAGCTGCCATGTTGACACTGTTTATTAGATTTTTTCTGTTTTCTGTCTTCTCTCAACCCCTCTTTTTCCTTTTTTCATAGTTTGATAGTATATAAATTGATGGTAACTGAAACTATAAATTGTAATCCTTATATTCCGGATGCGTTCATCTTATAATCTTTTCTCTATTACCTTTGAAACAATGAAGTATGAAATGTTATTATTTATAACCATTGTAATTTTAGGTAGTTTGCAGCTGATGAGAACCTGTGAAATAGAATGATATCATTTTATACTGCAAATCTGGTCTTTCTTTCTCTATCGAAATTTATCAAGGGAACCAAATGTATGAAATTCTTTCTATATTGAAATTCGAATCGTCATTGCCCGCCTTTGTTCCATCCTACGAGGGAGACAGGAACCAATGGGGGTAAATATTTTTTTGGGGGGAGGCGATTTCTTTTATTCTCACTCACTAAATGTACAATATAACACATATGTGTTCTAGTTTATTTCACTCCGGCGCCTAAGTTCCCAACGCATCAATAAAGCATCTTTTTTTAAAAATTCTTGCTTCTCAAATGAAACTTCGAGTTACTGAAACACATTTCTCGTGACTATGATAACTTCACTTACAAAGAACCGGAACTTTGAAACTAGAACAGACCAAATTTGAAAGTGAGAGAGGCTCTATTTTTATTTTCAAATGAGTACTTTTATCATAAGTGTCAGTAATCGTTCCTCGGTTTCTGAGTGTGAAATAAGACTTATGCAGCCCATTTTTATTGCTCTTAATTCCTTGACATCATTTTCCACCGGATCTATGAATCCTCATGAGCTTTTATTTACTCTTCTCTCGATCTCTTCAACCCGTCGCTTTCCACTTGGGAGGTTGGTGCATTATGTCACCGGGAAGTTTCCATCACAGACTTTTAATGCATTGCCATTTCATTCTGCATAATTATTGAGCAACAGGTGCTTTGAATGTACCGAATCAATAAAATAGAATTCAGTATCTGTGGAGTGCGTAATGACTACAGAAGGGATGTAGGTCTTAATGGCAGCAGAAGTCGACACGACAACATCCAGATTACTATCCCGACAGTCTACTAGCCAAGTTAAAAGCCATAAATCTGCTGCCACCCAGATTTTCAATTCAACCTCAATAACTACATTACACAAAAGATTTTATTTTCATAAATCACCCAGTGTTGTACAGTAATAATAACTGATGACCACGTTTCGAGCACAAACTATTGCCACTCATAATCGTATCAAGACACTACTCACACAACTTTTTTCCTTCATTTATATTCATATGTGGAATTGACTAGATATTTGAATAAAAAACAATATAGGATAATGTACATTCAGAAATAATAATATGAGTGTTATTGATCAAATACAATCAGATGGGAAATAAGACGAGTGTTTTTATAGTCAAAATAAATAAGTAACTTGTTAGAATGTTGTGATGTGCTTGAATTGAAATAGAATTTTGAGATTATTTATTATCCTCCTCTGATTGACTGACTGGTGGTGATAATATCTTCCATATCTCTGGAATTTGTGTTGAGTCACTTCTGTTGCATGTGTTGTGCCGGGTGTAAACTCAATGAACCAGGATTCAGTAATCAATCAATCTCACTC